CCCCCCCCCCACAAGAAAACACCCTGGACGCTGCACTAGGTCAGAAACCATTTGGACATAATGTCCTCTCCATTAAAGGCAGCTCATTGTGGAATAGCCTCCCAAGTGAGATACAGGATTGTCCCACTCTCAATAGCTTCAAAGGTCAACTCAAAGAATGGTTGAGAAACAAACAGACGTGCGACCACCGCTAAATGCACTTTAACACAGGGGTATCTCCTCTGGCTCTTTATCTGTCGTTGCTGCTATAGTGTACTGCCATGTGGTAAATACTTGTGTATGCTGCTCTTGCTCTTTCTGCATATCATGTATTTTGTTTTTGCTATGTTTGTAAAATGTAATTTTCTTAAATGTTGAATGTGAGGGACTGCGGATGGAAATGAACTCAAAGCTAAATCTAGCACTGTTACGCTTGACACATTTGAATGTTTTAAGTGTTCATTACTGTGCATTGTCCCTACCAAATAAACGATGAAATAAATAATAAAATAAATAACTGCCTCATACTTCAACGAGCAACAATAGCAGCCACATTCTGTTCACAGCTGGTTGTAAGGACACGTGGGACTTTGGTGTCGGTGACGTGTCCCTGTGTTCCTGGGTGTGTTTGTGTATCTCTGTATGGGTCAGGGGTCATGTGTCAGTTCTCCGGAATAGTTTTTTTTTATCTGTGATTTCATCCAAGAAATCCAAACTAAAGGTCATGTTTTCCCTCTTGACTGAACTCCCTAAAATACATTGTATCCCTCTATTTCGGTTGTGTACAAGATGTCCTTGTTCTGCTTTGTTAAACATTAGCATGTCTTTACTCATACAGCACATGCATGGTGCTTCATAAACATTGCTCAACAGACAAAGTCTAACATGTAATGTAAACTTGGTGAATAGCGAGTAATATGATAAGCAATCATTTGATGAACACAATTGTTCTTATTGAGTTATTGTTTAATGCTAGGCTTGTGACAGCTCCATGTTTTAGATACTATTATATTCAAGTTCATTGTCATTGGACAGAGTAAAAGTAGTAGTAAAAGTAAGACGATGAAATGCAGCATTAAACCAGAAGTGCAAAAGTAAGGAAATTTCTCCTTTATTTGTTTATTATTGTCCTTTGTCTTACTTTTAGACAGAATAAATGAAGGAAGACATCGTGTGCTCTAATCTTCAAAGGCCAACATTATTTTTATTAAATCGATGTATTGTTACTATTTAGTTGTACTGCTATTTGTTTGGAATGAAGCAGCAATAAAAGTAAAAACCCACAATTTCAAAAATGTGTTATCATTTCATAATCTTAGGTTGTGTTCCTTCCACTGTCTCTCTGTACATGATCTGCCAATTAGGTTAAAGGTCACAGGGCGTTGCAAGATGAACATCCAATAGGAAGAAAGCCCACTGTCACAAGGACAGAGTTATCTGGGAAGGGGCTGTCTGTGGCTTTTAAAAGAACCATGTGAGGGCCAAGCACACAGGAAAGAAAATGACAACTCATTGCCTCTGAGTAGAGTTGGTTATGACAGTCTGACAAACAGAGGCTGACGGGAGAAGAGCCACATCTGACCGTAAAGATGAGGCAGTGACAGGCGCACAGAGGAAGAACAATCAGACAACAACTACCTTCCTCTCTTTCCTTCTCTCCATGCTGTCATTGCTTTCATGGAAGCGAGGGGACAGCGAAGGACAGAGGCTTGAACTAAAAGCTGGTAAACACTTTAACTTTTGTCTCTTCCAGCTTTTACTGCAGTTGCTCTCCATACCATCATTGAAATGCCAGCATCAGCCTGTGGGTACTTTTTGGCACTGCATGCGGGCCCTGCAGGACTCACTATATATCTTTATGTGTCGCTGGTGTTGGTGGTAGTGCATGACTTATTAATGCCTGCTCTCATCCATCTTTAATGTGGAGGGACAAGGAGCAGCTTAATGGCTGCAGGGGGATTACAGTGACCACTTGTGTCAGTACCACAAGAAGGATGATGCTGAAACACATGGCTCCATACTGACAGTTATATGTAGGTAGTCGGAACAATTGCTGATGCACGAAAGACGATACGGACAGCAGGTGAGATATGTTTTTGTTGTGGCAGCTTTATTGTTTGAATATAACCTTACATCAACGTCTTCACTAGTCTAAGGCATGTTGAACTCTCTCTGAGGAAGCTCTCTATTAAATTGTAGTGGTTCATATAACTCGTATCATTTTGATATACTCCCTGCAGTTGGTCATCGTAATGTGGCTTCATTATCATTAAGCAACTTTCAGAGGAGCTTCTGCTGATCCAGGGCTTCATAAAGTTCACTCCTTGCTCACTCTGTCAACATAAGGCCTATTAGCTTTCCCATCCGAGAGTCCTACCCCCTGCTCTAATTAGGAATGCAATTTTGAATGTTGGCTGCTCGCCCATGGGCTGCTATAGCCGGTCCTGCAGCAAAGTGTTTGGGTGGCTGCCGCTTGACCAAAGGCACTCATTGTGTCCCTTTAAGCCACATACGGCGGATGCTGTTCATGCACTCGGCTCAATGTGTATTATTTATAGAAGTTCTTTGTTCCTCTTGGCGTTTTATTCTGATGAATTAGTAGATTTCTTTGCACATACTGTTTCCTGTGTTGTGGGGTTGAGAACATTCAGCGCCAGTGCCTAAATCCGCTGAGTCTTAGAGAAATCTTAATATTGAGCAACAAGCCCAGGACTGTATAAGTGTGGGATTGTCATTAGCTGCTGAATTACTTTGAAAGTGACGCATGAAAAGTACTGTAGACTTCCTTCATCGATCCTCCGTGATTCCTATGTGTTGTTAAAGATTGCGTAATATCCGAGAGACTCGCATTTACTCGTATTGTGTTCCTTTCTTAACACATCTGTAATCTTTGAAACTCTAGGATAACATCCACCCATAAATGTAGTTACAAATATAGTTATTCAGGCCTCTATCTATTATCTACCAATCAGAGGGTCGGGTTCAATCCCACCCCCCCGCAGTCAACTTGTTGAAATGTACTACGGCAAGATACCTTACCCCAAATTGCTGTACATCTCTGTTTGGTTTGGAACTCTCTATAATGTGGAGACATATGAAGACAGTTATATATAATACTACAAGAAAGCTTTGACCTTTTTTTTTACTGGGATAAAGACATTTGCTAATTAGCTCAGGATTCCAGTAAATGTCCTTTTGGATAAACACAACATTAAAATGATCTGAGCCCCCAATGATTCAAAGAAAGACAATGTAACTACACATCACAAATCAAACCTTGTCTTGTGATGTTTACAGTTAGGTTGGGGCGCTATATTTCTAGCTTTTTCAAATGAAGGGATGGCTTTGAAGCAGTAATGCGCTCACTATGGATAATTACTTCAAACAACGCCACTATTAAACATCTTAACTACTGTATAGCACAATGTACATTCTGTTTCCGTGATGACTTTTCCTCCAAGTCATGGGATGAGCTTTCTGTACGTGTTTTCTTCGCATGATCGAATCGATGTGAAATTAGGCCTTGAGCTGCTTTATTAAGCGTCGCCAGAATACATAGGACTTAATGTTGGAATGAAAAGTGTATCCCCGCTACAGTGCTGCTCTGTGCAGTCTGCTCATTTGGTTCTGCTGATTTGTTTCAGTTTATTTCAATACCCCAGGGCCAATACATGTCTCCTACATTCAATGGTACATTAAGCGTGCTCTAGATGGCTACATTACACACACAAATACACACGGGGGGGTTTCCTGGTTGCAGGTAATTATAACTATTTGGCCTGTGATTATATAAATGGGAACGGGGTACTTGAATACAGATATTTGAATATGCGAAAGAACTGCATGTTTCTGTGTTTTCATTCATTTCTGGAATGTGAGGCCCGGCTCTGTAACTCGTGGGGTTAAAGTCGGGTGTGTCCAGATGATGAGGCATGTTTTCCTGCAGAGGGGAAGAAACAGGCAGCTCCTCACTCCAGTAGCTGAGTGCTAAATGCAAAAGCGAACAGTGTTCAAGTTTTCCAACTTCAAATTTGTTTTGAATAAATCTTTGTGATATGATTCACTTATCCCTTGCTTACATTTGATATGTAGCCAATGAGAAACGTGCCAAAAAAGGGCGTCTAGAGTGGAGTGAGAAGCACAGAAAGGTCAGTCACGGTGATTCCTGTGTGCAGGAAGTCGTCTGGCTGATGAATGTTTCTCTCCAGATGGCAGGGAGTTGTGATTCCTCTTCACAAACTGAAATGGCCTCTCCCATTACTCTTTCTGAATGGCATGGAATAGCAGAATAATTGCGCGATAAGGGCTCCCATTATTTCTTTGACCCTCGAAACAATATTTCACTTTCGTAGAATCTTTGTACTATTTCCACCTCCACATCCCAAGATGCCGCTTTGTTGATCTGTAAAAATCATTGTGCTGTTTTAATTTCATATTTGTATTCGTAATTAGGGATGTCCCGATCACCTTTTTTTGCTCCCGTTCCGATTCCGATCATTTGATTTTGACAATTTGCCGATACCGATTTTTCCCGATCCGATCTTTATGCAATGCATTAAGAGAAAAAAAAGCATTCAAGTTGCCAGATTTGAGAGAAATAAGCAACCAGGTCTATGAAAACAAGCCCCAAAGAAGCAACACATACATGATGTTCTGTAATTTGAAACCAAAACTAAGGCCTCAGGATGACTTTAAGACTTGAACATGGTCATTTTTGTTTTGTAAAATTGAATACAACATTTAAAAAAAAGTATTTAAAAAATAAAAAAAAAAAAAATATCCCGATCCCCGATTTTTTTCCCCCCGATTCCGATCTTTTGAAAATCACGTGATCGGCTCCGATCCCCGATCAGGTGATCGGATCGGGACATCTCTATTCGTAATGCTTTATTGAACTCGCCTAAGTTAAAGTTTTAACAGCAGAAGTTTGAAGAGAGGTGTTTGCTATTATCAAGGACACCTGCTGTCATTTGGGATGTTTATTAGATTTATACATTCATTTGATTTAATAATTTAACTGAACTGATGGTTATTTTCTATGATCTCTCGATACATGTGCGTCAGTCAGCCTTGCTAGATAATTAGGTAACGCCCATTCTTAAAAAAACGAATATTCTCTTTCCCCTTGTTCGCTTCTCGCCTAAAATTCCCACTTTCTCATCTATTAAGAAAGCACTGCTGCCTCTGTCTCTTTGGGTTGTAACCTCTGTGTGTCCAGCAGCTCCTCTTCCCCCCGTCTCTCAGCGTGCCGTCACCCTATACAGTAAATACCAGCTTGTTCTCCGGCTCATGTGTTGTGGAAACAGAGGTCTCCGGTGACTTGACAGCAGATCTCAGTCCATCAGGGACACAGAACCAGATCCTTGTTATGCTGCATTAGGACAGGGGTATTGGCACACTTGATGAACACACTCCGCTGTGTGTTTCCAGCTGTACACACCTCCCTTTGGGACTCTTATGCAAGTGTGTTTGTGTTTTTATTCAGTGTATGACTAATCAGTGTTTGTTCTCATCAGCATGACGTCAGCGGAGGGCCTCTCCTCCTGCTTCATGCATGTCTGAACAGATCTTGGTGGATTTTGGCTGCTTAGCCCAACATTACATCGTTTAATTTCAAGGCTTGCTTAACACGTTTCAATCAATGAGCTTCTGTACGCCAGGCTACTGGGGATTAGTTAATAGAAGTAAGAGAACATTAGGATATATCCAATGATATCCTACCTTTTTTACAGTGTCTACATGATAATGGAGAGTGGGGGTGTGGTGCAGAATAAGCATCAGGGTGCTACTTTGTATGCTTGCGAGACCAGCTGACAGTCGAGTTTAACAACTACAGACAAAAAGGTCTTTAATTTAACAAATGCATAGGGGTCAGCAAGGTGGAATATTTGATGGTGAGATCAGAGATTGTTATGGGACACAAGCCCCTGTGTCAGTAATCTGCTAAGTGAACACTTTCCCACCAGAATACAAAAAGAAACACATTAATAATCCTTGAAATGATTACTATGCATTTGACTTACATCGTTACATTAGTGCGCCACAATTAATCAAAGTTTGATCAAAGTTGCAAAAGGGACTGGATATTAGTGCAATATCAATCGAATTGCGATTTTTCTGACAAATATTGCGATTGCAATTCGATTTGCGATATTTGTTTTTAAGCGACCCAACGGACGTAAAATGCGGCCATATCTCCAGCTAGGAAGTTCGCATCAACGTGCTCCCGTCTCAAGCACCCCCCGCAGCCCGAGCTACGAGTGAAAGAACTAAACTTACATGAAACTTCCGTTGGGTGGCTTTAAAGTCAAGCTTCAGTTTAAGATTCACCCTGTAATAGAAACATGTGATGGAGCATTACTAACCTGACTCAGATGGTTTGTTTCACCAAACCATCTAGGAGAGCTCCATTGGAAGCCATTTGGAAAGGGCAGGCACTTTCAAAAATACTTGGCAGGTGATTGGATCAATCTGTCTATCACCTTCTATCATGGGCCACTTCTGATTGGTTAACAATGGCTGCTACATGTGGAGCACAGCACTTCTGATTGGTGTGGATGACTGACACACAGGAACAAAAAAAAAAAAAAAATTGCAGGCTTTGCGATTTGATAATCGCATCATTTCAAATCGCGATTTCGATTTAAAATCGATTAATCGTTCAGCCCTAAATCACAGTAAACACAATAATTGGTAAAATGTGTGAAAATATAATTCCTGAATTTTGTATATTTTTAGGAATTATATTATATAGACTTATTATATAATCCATGTTTGGTACAGATCTTTAAAAAACACAGCATGATCTTTTTAATATATTTTTCATTGATAATGTTTCAAAAATGATAATTCCCTCCAACTTCGCGAGTCATGTGGCAATTTTTATGCCATTCAAAAAAAAAAAAAAAAATCGCAATTAACACATTTTCCCCTAAACCTACGTTAAAAAGTATTTATTTTAGTTTTCACCCTTTGACCTCTTCTCTCTGTCCCTGTTCTTAGTGATGGACACCAAAGCAGTGTTTTCGGCGCTGCACAGCGTCTGCGATGAGAACGCAGAGTTCTTCTCCGGAGGATCCAAAGGCTCGCAGGGCGATGCTGCGCGGCGCCTGGTGGACACCATGAAGCTCATCAAGGAACACGCTCGCAGTCTGGAGCCCATTATCTCCGGCTTCACTCAAGTTTACCATCACTTTGACTTTGACCCACACATACCCGCCAACGGCTATCGCTCACTGGTCAAGGTAAGCAGTGGCATGTTTTGTGTGCTTAAGTCTTGGATCTGTGTTTTTACATCTCCACCCAGTGCAGCTGTGAGAATAATAAGCCCCCCTGCCGCAATACATCCTTATCAATATTCTCTCCACACTGTGGGAAACTGCTTGATATCGCTTTGTTTCAAGGTGAGCCCATTTGTTTTACAGATTGATTTTATGTTGAAAATCAGGTTAGATAAATTCCTCCAGCTGCAGAATATCTACCCCCTACTGTACCCCACTGTACTTCGTCTTCTACACGTATCGACGAAACATCATGACCTTCGGTGGCTGCAGCCCACCACATTGAATGAGTCTACCAGAGCAGCAAATGAATGCTGCTCTGTGTTCTTACCTCTTGGTTTCCACATATATAATCCTACTCATTCCCAAAGTGCTACTCAGACTAATCTGCAAGACCATTTTTAAAGCTTCAAGCCTTTCACATGCTTTCTTTCAGGCACGCTACCATACATAGTTTATTTTCCTTCAAGCTTAACCAACAGAAACCTAATTACAATTTCAGCAAACCCAGAAGACATGGCTCTTTAATGATTGCACAACTTAAAGAACTATGATTTGCTTTGTTGAAAAGCAAAAACGACATGGGTCGATTTCTTAGTATAGGAATATTAACCTTGACTTCATCATTCATTATTTAAAGAAACCTACAATTTCACTGTAAAAATGCCATCCTTTTACATCATCATTTATTTAGTTTCTTTTTACATTTTTTAATTTTATTTTCAGGTGAAACAATACATAAAACATTAGGGACAACACAACAAAACTTAATAAAACCCACAAAACAATAACAGCAAGTAACGACACAAACAGCAACAGTAGCAACCTAGTATTCTTATGGTTTAACTTAACTGACATTGCCATGCTGGTTTATTTTGGCATAAGGAGAGTGTAGCATCTTGGGGTAACGGCCCGTCCACACACAGGCATGAAAAAAATCTTTCAAAGCTTCGCCCATTCACTTGAATGGGGTGACGTAGAAGATTTTTAATCTTCGCCGAACTGCATTGTGGGGAGCGGAGCATGGCTTTGCAAGCATCGTGAGCATCAAAAGTTGAGCAATGTTCAACTTTTGATGTTCCCAATGCTTTCGATGCTTGGCATCAGCCAATCAAATCCCGTTTATGCAAATCCCGCCAGTACAAGCGTTAGCCAATCAAACCGCGTGCAAGCTGGGAGAGCCAGACCGCAGTTCATTTCCTCATATTCCAAACGAGATATTACGGTAGCAAATCACCCGGTTCTTTACGACCAGAACTATTTACCGGGATACAAACCGGAGGAACCAGGCATGGAGGGAGGTGGCAGAGACAGTGGGTGAAACTGGTAGGTTTTTCGCCTGTTTGGAGAGTTTATATCCAGTTTACTTCGTTTTAACCTATCGCCTACCAGACCTCTGTGCCGGCCTACCGACCCGACCTGACTCCCTGCCTATTTTTTGTCTTGTCTAATAATTAATATAATTGTATTAGATAAATGTCTACAATCGAATGTGCGATTTGAGTTTTGACGAAAGTAAACTCGTCTCTGCTGCGCCTATCAGTCTTTCTCAAGTCTGTTATTTTTAATCTACGTCTCCCCAAAGTAGTGAAAAAAAAGGTGAGAGCAGAAAAACGACTCCCGAATCGGAGACAGAAATCCTAGTGTCTCTAGAGAACACTTCTCTCGGAAGCGGAGACAGGTACGAATTTTACTAAGTGAGGAATCAAATTGACAGTCCAAATTCCGTCGTACTCAGTAAAAAATCTAGACGTTTAGAAAGGACCGAAATGCTTAATGTCGAGACTGTCGAGAGACTAGACCCCAGTTAAGCGGACAATCAGACCCATGTTCGGTCGGGACCGTAAAAGAAAATTTATATTAGTGCTGTAGGTGTCTCCAAACAAGAAAAGTTTGTCTTATAGGAAAACTACTGTCCGTTACCGTCTGAACCCTCGAACAATGAGAGTATATAAATTTTTTTTTAACGATCGATGTAATCTGGATTGTTCCCATCATTGTATTCTCATTAACAGTCGTCGCATCTACTCCGACGTAAGTCGCACGACAGACATCCACCATTCGGTCTTAACCACTCTTACCTTCACCAAAAAGTATCTGCAAAATGAGGATGAAACACAGTTAGAAAACATAACATCAGAATATTATATAGTAGCGAAGTTTTCACTTAATGGACGTTCAAGGATGAAACGACTTGTAACTTCATGAAGGACGGCAGAGAAAGAAGGCTCACGAGGGTGGGAAAGAAGGTATTTTTCGGTTGTAAATCAAGTAGTTCGGACTCCGTGACCGACGACAGATTAGGGAGGGGTAAGCACTGTGATTGGACGGTCGAAGGGGACGTGGTACGCCGAAAAGAGTGCGACCTCGGGCTCCGTAGCGTATCTGTCGTCGGAACACGTACTACACATAAGCGGCCTATTTCCGAGTGACTCCGGCGAGAGTAGGAACTTTTGTCTCCAAGGTACCGACACAGCACGGTCGTACGCGCTCGGTCCATCCGTCCCGCGCGTCGACCGTGTCTCGCAACGTCATGCGGAGTAGAGGGCGCAACACACGGTGAGCTTTCTTCTACGACGCCGCCAACCGCCACTACCATCGCGGGAAAGACCTACTACACCCTTCCGTCGTCGCGTGTGGATGTTTTACTCCTTCTAACATTGTAATTTACCTCCTTTTATCGTCAGAATGCCTAGGGGCAGGTGTGTGTCCGTACTTTTTTTAAGAACTACGACCCGCACAGACTTCGAACCGGCTAAAAACGCTCGTGCGCTGGTTGTTGTTAGTGTACTTAGAGGGCGGGGGCCTGTATGTTTCGTTATC